AAGCTACAACTCTTACGGAACTACTTGTAAAGTAACAGTTTTCAGAAGTAATGTGACTTTTACATACCAAATTTCTCTGCAGATCACTGGTTTTGAAGGCAGACTGCAGCAAAAGCAATTTATGTGCAAATCCATTTAACCAATATGTAGGTACTCCTATTATTTTATGTGTCGTTTCTTTGGATTCTGCCAAAATTTTAAAGTACTTACCCTCTTAAGTAGAGGGTAAGTGTACGTACTTTGTATAATCAATCAATCAGTTGCATAGCCATGGTGTTTGGGTAGGCATTTAAACAGAAGTCAGATAAAAAATTATCAGCATTTTATTGTACCTTTGCAACTGAAGATTTCTGGAATCAGCTGTGCAGGAACCTCTTCACCTCAACCTGCTCTAAGGAGATTTCTTGTGTATGGTAAGAGGGGTAATTAGCAACATTTGTAGAGCCAAGTCCAGATTGGTGAGCCAACGGGTAGTCTCAGAAATGGCTTGGTACAACCCTAAGATACCACTGGCAAATGACTGAAGTGGGCACTGACTTACAGACTGGTCCCACAGTTTGCAGCTGGGTTCCATAGACACATTGTGCATGGTCTCTCATCTTCCAGAGTTGAGAGAGTTGACAGTATCTGCCATCTGATGTTCTCAAACAGTTCGAAGTGGAATATTGTTTCTGGGGTAGACTGAAGCCCAGAAGTTTTTTCTGGTGTCTGCAATCAGGTGTTCGAGACATTATCCCAAATTTTTTTCCAGTGGGCCTCAGGATTGAATGAGGACAATTTAAGAGCTTACCCAATCCCAAAAAGGATGGAGAGATTTCAGGCATGTCTTTGGAAGGTTCTAGAGGTCCTGATGAACTGGTAAGTTCAGGTTGGACGTGGTTCACTTGTACTCACAAGCTGTATGTCTCTCTCTCTCTCTGGATCTTGGGTGACAGTGCATGTGCCAGAGTGGGCAACCATGGAACAGGTGTTGATTTTCATGTTTGTTATAATTCTCATTGTAGCATTAAGCTGCCTCTCCAGACCGATGCACAACATTCAGCAATTAAGAACACGTGCTAGATGCACTGTTTGAAATGTCCGCATGTAGTGGCACCCCATATTGCGTCTACATGTTTTTGGACAAAGCTAGTCTTCGCTTTTTGCGTGTCTTCTTCAGATGAACTTTAAAAGTCAAACTTCTGTCCAAAGTTGCACCCAGGTACTTTGGATAGGGCTCATTTTGGACCTGTTGATTGCTGAAGGTCACACTAAGTAGTTTCTTAGCAGCTTTGTTGTTTAGGAGAAAGGCAGTTATCAAGATTTTTGGAGGAGCCACTGGGGCAGAGTTCCCAATATTTAAAGTATTCTGCCATTATCTTGACGTTGGTGAAGAGGAAGTTGTCCATGATAGTGAGGCCTTTTGCCTTGTTCCATAAGAGGAATTTCATCAGCATAAATCAATGTATGTGAAATTGTGTAACATAAGTCACTAATATAGATCTTGAATAGTAAAAGAGCCAGCAGGGATCCTTGAGGTTAATCATCATTGAGGATGCATGCTTTGCTGATCTGCCCTTTCAAAAGGGATGCGATATTTACAGTTGCTCAACATTGTGGCCAGGAGTTGCACAGAGCTATGGTATTCGATGACCCTTGATACTTGATACCTTGAGCCATAGCCCATCTCTTCATACCATGTCATAGGCAGTGGATAAATCTATTAGTGCTGTTCTGGGTTTTAGATTCTTCTGGATGTAACTATTAACGGTGAGAACCTGGTCACAGCCACTTTGTCCCAGTCTGAAACTGGCCTGTTCCTTTGGCAGGATGGCCTCAAAGATAAGGGTGAGATGGGACAGTAAAACCCGCTCCATTAACTTACAGGTTGTGGAGAGGAGTGATATTGGGTGATAACTGACAGCATCATTTGGTGGTTTCCCATGTTTGAGGAGGCCAATAACTATTGTCTCATGCCAGCTTTTAGGAATCTTCCCTGTTTAAATACATGGCAGTGAATAGGTCTGTCAACTATACTTGTCCCTTTGGTCCCAAATTCTTAAGGAAAATCAGGATAAATGCCATCCTTGCCAGCAGCTTTTCTACTTTTGGAGGCCATGAAGGCCTTGTTTATTTCTTCTGCAGTATAAGGAGATGATCGCAGCAAAGTGGCAGGGCTTTGTTGGACATTTGAAAAGAACTCTTTCCTCAATCTTTTGTCTAGTCACCTTGTCGGTTTTGATCTTTGAATTACAGAGAAGGTATGCGTTAACCGAATTGGCTGTAATTTTCAGTTGATGGTGTTTCACTAAGTCAGCAGCTCCAAGCTTATGGAGGAATGCCCAGGCTTTACAACTGAAATGAGTGAAGTCCAGATCCTCCATGGTTTCATTCAATCTCTTCAGGCGAGCGGAGTTCAAGGACTCTATTCCTGCTTTTTCGGTGTCTAGATCACCACTCTTCCCATGTTCTTTGAAGAGTGCTTCTGTCTCCAGCTGCCAGCAAGAAATATAGATAGTTGTGAGAAATGCGTTTAATAAGATGAACAAAGCAGTCAGTTTTCTGGGATTGGTTTGATACAGTGTATCCAGTCTTCAACTTCTGCAGTGTATGCAACCCAGTTTGCTTTGCAGAAATTCTTGCATGGTTTCGGTGCTGATTCAAATAAATGGAACTCCAAAGCAGACATGCAGAATAATGTGCCACTGTTGGCTGCAAGGAAATTTCTAAGGACTGTTCCTGAAGCTTACAGAGGAACACCAGAATTGTCTTTAATCAGAAAACATATGTAGAGTATTCCATTTGGCCAAGTGAAAAGTCAATAGTTTTAGGGTCAAAAAAGATGGACATGTGCAAACAAGGCCCAGCCTGTGAGTTGCTAAGCAGCTGCATCATTTCTGCTATAGCCCTACTGTGAGTGGTCGCTATTAAAATCACCAAGATACACAGCTTGGTGAGGGGGAAATGGTAATATTTGCTTCAGCTATTCAAGATTTGGAAGTCTGTAGACATTAGTTATGATCAGTTGTCTCAATCTTCGTGCAGCAATAGAGATTCCCACGGTCTTGAACTCCTCCAGGACTGAGACATCTTTAAGACCGTGCCTAATGTACACGGCACGGCAATACGCTGTGTCGTCCATGGTGGCAATGAGCTAATAGACATAAATTTTATCTCTTGCTCATAATCTGCAGCATGAGTGATGATGTTGCTCTACAAGAAAATGTCAGTCTCCTTAAGAACTCTTGAAAGGTAGTCACGCTTAGCATGTGACAGCCAACTAGAATTCAGTTGGTACACATGTGGAGCTGGTCCAACGGTTCTTCAATGCTGTCCCTGACAAGGACTCAAATTTCACATTGCTAAAACCATACCTGGAGATCAACAAATAGATGTCTCATAGCCTTTTGACAACAAACAAACCACATGTAACGGGAGCACCACATGAAGGTTTTTGTCTTGCAAGAGATGAAAGCAATATAAAAGAGTAGTAAATATTTCAAAGCAGTCAATTTTTGGCAAAGTTAAATATACTACAACTAACACTGCTAGTATTGGTTCCAACTCAACTCTACTATAACTGTTTGAGGATTTAAAAAAGGAAGGAAGGAGGATCCTGGGAACTACAGGCCAGTCAGCCTCACCTCAGTCCCTGGAAAAATCATGGAGCAGGTCCTCAAAGAATCAATCCTGAAGCACTTGCATGAGAGGAAAGTGATCAGGAACAGCCAGCATGGATTCACCAAGGGAAGGTCATGCCTGACTAATCTAATCGCCTTTTATGATGAGATTACTGGTTCTGTGGATGAAGGGAAAGCAGTGGATGTATTGTTTCTTGACTTTAGCAAAGCTTTTGACACGGTCTCCCACAGTATTCTTGTCAGCAAGTTAAGGAAGTATGGGCTGGATGAATGCACTATAAGGTGGGTAGAAAGCTGGCTAGATTGTCGGGCTCAACGGGTAGTGATCAATGGCTCCATGTCTAGTTGGCAGCCGGTATCAAGTGGAGTGCCCCAAGGGTCGGTCCTGGGGCCGGTTTTGTTCAATATCTTCATAAATGATCTGGAGGATGGTGTGGATTGCACTCTCAGCAAATTTGCGGATGATACTAAACTGGGAGGAGTGGTAGATACGCTGGAGGGGAGGGATAGGATACAGAAGGACCTAGACAAATTGGAGGATTGGGCCAAAAGAAATCTGATGAGGTTCAATAAGGATAAGTGCAGGGTCCTGCACTTAGGACGGAAGAACCCAATGCACAGCTACAGACTAGGGACCGAATGGCTAGGCAGCAGTTCTGCGGAAAAGGACCTAGGGGTGACAGTGGACGAGAAGCTGGATATGAGTCAGCAGTGTGCCCTTGTTGCCAAGAAGGCCAATGGCATTTTGGGATGTATAAGTAGGGGCATAGCGAGCAGATCGAGGGACGTGATCGTTCCCCTCTATTCGACATTGGTGAGGCCTCATCTGGAGTACTGTGTCCAGTTTTGGGCCCCACACTACAAGAAGGATGTGGATAAATTGGAGAGAGTCCAGTGAAGGGCAACAAAAATGATTAGGGGTCTGGAACACATGACTTATGAGGAGAGGCTGAGGGAACTGGGATTGTTTAGCCTGCAGAAGAGAAGAATGAGGGGGGATTTGATAGCTGCTTTCAACTACCTGAAAGGGGGTTCCAAAGAGGATGGCTCTAGACTGTTCTCAATGGTAGCAGATGACAGAACGAGGAGTAATGGTCTCAAGTTGCAGTGGGGGAGGTTTAGATTGGATATTAGGAAAAACTTTTTCACTAAGAGGGTGGTGAAACACTGGAATGCGTTACCTAGGGCGGTGGTAGAATCTCCTTCCTTAGAGGTTTTTAAGGTCAGGCTTGACAAAGCCCTGGCTGGGATGATTTAACTGGGAATTGGTCCTGCTTCGAGCAGGGGGTTGGACTAGATGACCTTCTGGGGTCCCTTCCAACCCTGATATTCTATGATTCTATGATTCTATGCTTGTTTGAAAAGACATATTACAGCTCATTAAATTACAGTTTTTTATTTCTTCTTTTATAGTCATGTTGTATATACATTTTCCAGTTTTCTTTTCACTTTCACAGTTTGATAGTTGTTGGATCTGGGATTTTAATTTGGCCTATTAGTGTAGGTCTACACAGTCCACAGCAGCAAGCCTCTGAGCTCAGATTGACAGACTTGGGCCCACATGGTGTCCCTAGCCTCTGTTTGCCAGAAGCTGGGAATGAGCGACACTCATTCCCTCTGGGGCACCTGGCACTGGCCACTGTCGGAAAACAGGGTACTGGGCTAGATGGACCTTTGGTCTGACCCAGTAGGGCCAGTCTTATGTTATTACCATACTACAAATAGCTGTGTAGACATTTGTCAAGGTTCCTTCCCCACTCTGACTCTAGGGTACAGATGTGGGGACCTGCATGAAAGACTCCCTATGCTTATTCTTACCAGCTTAGGTTAAAAACTTCCTCAAGGTACAAACTTTGCCTTGTCCTTGAACCGTATGCCGCCACCACCAAGTGTGTTAAACAAAGAACAGGGAAAGAGCCCACTTGGAGACGTCTTCCCCCAAAAATATCCCAAGCCCTACACCCCCTTTCCTGGGGAAGGCTCGATAAGAATCCTCACCAATTTGTACAGGTGAACACAGACCCAAACCCTTGGATCTTAAGAACAATGAAAAATCAATCAGGTTCTTAAAAGAAGAATTTTAATTAAAGAAAAGGTAAAAGAATCACCTCTGTAAAATCAGGATGGTAAATACTTTACAGGGTAATCAGATTCAAAACATAGAGAATCCCTTTAGGCAAAACCTTAAGTTACAAAAAGACACAAAAACAGGAATATACATTCCCTCCAGCACAGCTTATTTTACCAGCCATTAAACAAAAGAAAAATCTAATGCATTTTCTAGCTAGATTACTTATAGATTACTTACTAACTTTACAGGTGTTGTAAGGCTGCATTCCTGATCTATTCCCAGCAAAATCATCAGACAGACAGACAGACAGACCAAAACCTTTGTTCCCCACCCCCAGATTTGAAAGAATCTTGTCCCCTCATTGGCCATTTTAGATCAGGTGCCAGCAGGGTTACCTTAGCTTCTTAACCCTTTACAGGTGAAAGGGTTTTGCCTCTGGCCAGGAGGGATTTTATAGCACTGTATACAGTAAGGTGGTTACCTTTCCCTTTATATTTATGACAACATTGCAACTCAGGCTGGGGCTCAGGCTCTTAAACCTGGGGGCGGGGGAAGATGCCAACCCACAACTTAAGCTCTGTCTACAGAGCTATTTCTAGAACAGTAGCGTGAGCTCGAGTCTATCGACTCGGTCAAAAGCTCGCTCCTACTGGCTGTGTAGACGTACCCAGAGACCGCATGAGATAGGGTTCTCCTTGGAGTGTGAACCTGAATTTTCATGAGGTTCCCAATACTCAGGAGTGTTCTGATCCAGGATCCAGTGAGGCATTTTGGTTTGGCCCCTATCTATAAATTAGAAGTCACTTAAATTAAAAAATAAAAAATCCTCTCAAGTTACAGAAAGTGTCGTCTAGTCCAGTCATACTCAGACCTCAGTGGTTCAGAAACCAAAGTAGCAATTGACATTATCCAAAAGAGCCACAGTAGTAGTAGTGTGAATTCATGGTTTCAAAACACTCATATTTAAATAGTATGATGTGGAAATATATAGTTTATTATATGTAGTTCTCACACCAAAATGACTGACCAAGTATTATTTTATCACCGACAATTGGTTAATAACATAGTAAAAGCATCCTGATTGGTTAATAATTAAATCACACAGTTTTAACATCTAGTGCTGCAAAGAGCCGCAGGAGAAACATTAAAGAGCCACTTGTGAGCCTTAGTCTGAGTATCCCTGTTCTTGTCATTTCTAACACTCTTCAGCAACATAGCATTTAGTCACCATGTTTCTTCATACAAACATACAAATCCCTTAAATCATTTTATGCTTCCTTTAGTATTAGTTGATCACATCCTTCCTTTTGTTTGGCAAGTGTATACACAAAATACTTTGAGAACATACTGACCAAAATGACACTTGATACTTGTAAAGCGTCATGTGTTATTTTGGTCCTTTGCCCCAAAATTAACGTTAGCAGATTGGGTAAACTGTATCTTAAAGAAATAAAAAGACAAAGAATATTAAATTGGCTGACATGCTCTCATCAAGTCACTTTTGGAATTCAGCAGCTAAACTTGAGTTACTAGTTCATAATCAAGGAATGTTCACCAATCATTTTTATTGAACATGTTTTCATACCTCAGAATGATAAAAATATAAAGCTGAATTTGCTAAGTACAGTATCTCTTCATTTAGTCTTTTTTGAAGTTTCTTCATCTCTCCAAAGCAATTATATTGAATGGAAATGGAGCTAAAGTTAGGCCAAATCTTCCTTCCATGGCTGGTTTTGTAGCAGTCTCGGGATACAAAAAGGTGAAATTTTGCATGAGATTTACAAACATCAAGAACAGCTCCATTTTTGCCAGCTGCTCTCCCATGCACACACGTTTACCTAACAAGAGGTTAGAAAGGTAAATATTACTGATCCTTATACTGTTGACTCATTCAATTACAGCCCTACAATTTCCCTACAATCTTGTTCCAAGCAGAGAAGGACTCAGAGCTGAACTTTCTAAACTTGGGATTCAGAGTCTTGGTTTGGATTTCATTTGGTTTTATTGCTTGACATTAGAAGCACGTACAGTCTTAACACTTTATGGCAGTAAAACCACTTTAACAGTATCACCTGATCCATCTTGGGGAAACTACTGGGAGAAGGTTGCACTTATTTAAACAGGCAGCTGGGGTTGGATGCTCCCAAGAGGTTTAAAAAAAAACATAAAAAGCTTAAGTAATCAGTGTGCACCATATATGTTCAACTTTTATTTTATTTTAAAAATGAATATTTTCTATGATGAAATGAGAAAATGGCAAATGCTAAAGGCTTTTCGGAAGCGTAACTCTCACCCCAAACTTTAAACAAAAAAGCCCATTCCAACTGTATCTAGATATTTTACCAATTCCGAAAGGAATGAACGTTTCTCTTTTGATTAGCTGGCCATTTTCATCCAGAAATCTTGTTGGTTGGAAGTCATCTGGTCTCTCCCATACATTTGGATCTCTGTGCACTGACCACAAGTTGGGCACAATCACACTGCCCTTAGGAACAGTATATCCCCGTAGCACTTCAAAACAAGAACAGAGACAGGAGATTTGATAGGTGTTTGTTAGGAGCAAATGTGAGAGATTTCATGCTTAATGAAAGAGGGACTATAGTAATTAAACAAGAGCCCAGATCCTCAGCTATGGGCAAGGAACACCCACCACATCTCAGGACAGAGGGTGGAAGCCTGGGTGCAATGGTCCTTGTGCTCCCCTGATTCTGGGCTGGCTGTGCTCCAGCTTAGTCTCTCAGCACAACTTAGAGCAGCCCCAAGTATACTAAATTATGCTAACAGTCAGGGATCAACAGAGTGTGGGAAAGTCCCAGCCATGTTATGTTTCCAAAAAATCTCACTCAACATGCCAGCAGCAGACAGGAAGATTGAACAGAAGATGTTGTCCCACCAGAGGAACCCCTTACATTGGGATGATCCTCCCATGACTAGCTAATGCTGATAAAACTAGAATTCACCAGTGATGCAGTGCAAAGCAAACACTGCATGATGTGCACGAATCCCTTTAGTTTACTAAAATCATTTACCGTTATCTAGAATAGCAGAGACATTTCAGATCTTCTACTGTTGCAACCATTAAGCTAACCCAAAAAGTTTCACAGGAACACAGACTGGACCAGGCCTATACTGCCAGCATTCTGAACACAGGACTTCCTCAGAACGTATTCCACTTCAACAATATTCCCCTGCCCACAAAAATCTATCCATTCCAAAAACCTTGCCCTCTCCCCAATGTCCATTAATTTCATCTTCCCCTCCCCATCCTCACACACGTAATCCTACCCAATCTCCAGTCTAGTAAGTCTTGGCCTATCATGTTTCCCCTTTCTGGTTCCTAGTAATTCACTGAGGCTCCCCTATCTGGCAGCTGTTTATCAGAGCTGGCAGGCCATCCCACAAAAGCTAACTGCAACCAGCAATTTGTCCTGCAGTCTGTCTGCAAGCTATTTGACTGGGTGGGGATGATGTCCCCTCTAATGTCCAGTTCAGTGGTCAGTTGGATTCTTTCTGGCTTTGTGCTGGAGGTGTCAGAGCTCCAGGCCAGAGCACCCAGTGTCAGCTCGTAAGACTCTGAGGGGAAGGCAAACGTTGGCAAGGAGAGGGTCTGCCTGTAACAGCTACAGGAATCCCACTCAAAGCAGCAGTGGTTTGGCATCAGCTCTCCTCCTCCACATACACTGTTGTAGAGTCTAGCAGAAGGTAAAGGGAACTATGTAGTTCATCTCTCCAAGACCACCTTGAGACACTGCTGGGGGACAAAAGGAGGGAATTCTCCTTGAGGCAGCCAGCATCACTGTAGCAGATGTTAAAAAATATTTAAAGAAGGATATGCTTTTGGGTGGCTTGCAAGATGATTTTTTTGCTACACCTCCCACATAGGTTAACCCATTCCTGTCTACCACCATCACACCCCTGACAATAGGGACCAGCAAGAGGACTTTGGAGAGATTATTGTTTTCTGTAGAAATAAAAACCAGCAGCACATTCCTTTCCATTTTAGCAATCGGTTTACATCATGTTAATATTTTCAAGACTCTTTGTGCCAGGAAAAGAGCTAGAGACGTTTTTGTTTTTGTAAAATTAAAGCGGAGATTCTCTCTACTGTTCTCAAAGGCTGGGTCTATCAACAAAGGCTCACGCAATTCCTGTTCATCAGCAGATAGGGCTCTAACTATGAAATACTTGGGCATCTTAAGTTAACCACTTTGGATGATCGGATGAACATTCCTAGCCCTTCTTTCTAAAGAGATGGCATTTTACACACTGAATTTACATCTATATCTGCATAACTGCAATCTTCATAAAGTTCTCACCGTCTGTCCCATCAGACATTTCAGCCACAAAATGTAAAAAAACAAAACAAAAAAAACCCCAAATGAACAAACATACAAACACTTACCAGCAGTTTCTGAGGCCATTCGAGGAACAGAAAGAGGAACAACCACAGTCATCCTCTGCACCTCCATGATGGTTGCCTCTGTGAAGGGCATATGAGTCTTGTCAGTGAGAGAAGGAGCTCTGTCATGCCCGATGACCAGTTCAATTTCTGCATGAACCTTTTCTATGCAAAAGAAGGGAGGAGTAAAGAGAAAGATGAAAACTAGGTGCAAAGGCACTGTCGCACTTTCATATTTACATTACCATCAATCATGATATAGTTGAGGAAAACTATAGGTACTGATAATAGGATAGCAAGAGACTTTCACTTCTAGGCAGCCAAGTGCATAGGAGTTTTCTAATGAGAGTTCAGAGGTTGCTGGTCCTTTAAAGGGAGTCTGTGCCCAGACTACCCATGAGGAGCTAAATTAAAGATCCCATCTGGCTAATGAGCACCTGGGCCAATAAAAGGTCATCAGAGCTCAGTTATAGGTAGATGCTCAGAGAGAGAGAACCTCTCCCAAAGGAAGCTTCCAGGACTGAGAACCACAGGCCCCCAGGAGGAAGGCTGTGCAACCCCTGAGACAAGGGAAAGAGCCCTTTTAAAACCCAAAATAATCTGGAACTAAACTACAACCTCAAGAGGGGAATTGTGTTTTATACCCGGGTGGGCTGTGTGAGGTCTTAAATGTCCCTCAGAGAAATGAAACCAAGGCAGGGAGTGCCTGCAGAGCCACACTAGCTCAGCAGGGGTGCTCCAGGACAGGCATACCCTACGACATCTAGTACCAAAGGTGGGATTCTGAGACTCCCCTTCTTACCTGGCCCTTCGATCAAGGAAGGATGACCAGGCACACCTTCCTTAGCTGCAAGATGATTACCTTCTTTTACTGGCATATGGAGGGGCAGCCATAGCCTTAGGGGTTCCAGCTCTAGTATATGAGTACCTGAGTAGCAGCAATAGCCCTCTCAGATACACAGCAGACCTCTGTAGTAATGGACTGGGGTTCTACTTTATTAAATCCAAATATCAACTTGAACTAAAGTCTCTCCCTTTGGGTCTGCGGTTCTCAGTCCTGGCTCTCTAGCACTCTCCTTGGCTCAGGGATTGCACAGCCTTCCTCAGAGTTGTGGGTAATAGTTTAACAAAAAACACCAGACCCATTATTAGTACACAAAAATCTGTGATCAGCCACGGTGTTGGAAAGAGTTTCTACCCACTTTCTCTTTCCTCCTTGCCCCATCTCACCCAACCTACCAAAGGATAACTGAAAGCCGACTCTCTATCCTACCCATTCATGTATATCAAGCCCAAAGTAATGGAGGAAGGTGCAAGCTCCTTCTTTCAATCTATTTATCATAGCATTGAGGGCTCCTCACATAGTATTAAGCTCACTACAGCAGCATTCACTAGGTGCTTTCCACACTATGAAGATGGAGACCCTGCCCCAAAGAACTCTCAACCTAAAAAGACAAGCAAGAGATGAAGGGCAGGCCAGAGGGGAAAAAATAACCAAATAACACAGTCTGGATTTTAAGTAATAGCTAATATTAGTTATCCACAACTTCCCTGGAAACCCTGTGCCTGTAGTGGTTGTTTTGCTTGCCAGTTCTACCTTTCAGCATTAGACCTGCCATCTCCTCAACTGTGATTTAAGGTTAATTATCTGCTCAGTCAGCATAAGAAAAAGTTCTGTGTATTACCACTAAGGCAGGGAAAGGGATTCAGCAATTGTCACTTGCTAAACAGACACGTGCTGCCATCTATGGATTTGTTAAGGAAATTGCTGCTCAAATGAGGAACACAAAGTGAAAAACTTTTTTGCAGTGATGGCAGTGAGTTACCCATTTGCCTGTTTAGAATACCAGATTTCAGAGTAACAGCCGTGTTAGTCTGTCTTCGCAAAAAGAAAAGGAGTACTTGTGGCACCTTAGAGACTAACCAATTTATTTGAGCATGAGCTTTCGTGAGCTACAGCTCACTTCATCGGATGCATACCGTGGAACCACGAAAGCTCATGCTCAAATAAATGGGTTAGTCTCTAAGGTGCCACAAGTACTCCTTTTCTTTTTAGAATACCAGAGTTGCTTTTCACTTTGATAGATTCTGATCCTTCTGGCATTTTCAGAGTGGTTCAATGGAAAACAGTTTTCAAGGGGTAGAAAATAATTTTATTTTGAGGATGAGCCATCTCCGGGTTGTTCACTTGTCTACACACACTATGTCACCAAAGTGTTGTATCCCCATGGTGCAGTCTGTAGATCCTGCAGAGGTTTGTGAGACTGTAATAAAACCACCTAGATGCTTTGCCCTGTTTGCACTGCTGACTGCAAGGTGCAAGATTTCTTGACTTTTTAAGCTAATAGCAGGTCAAAACTGCTACACTATCTTTGCTTAATTTAAAAAAAAATCAGTACTTAAAAGTCCCTCAGATCCTGGACAAATATACTTATCTTTGGAATCCAGATAGGACTGGAGCCCAGTTAGTTTTGATCACGTATGTCTCTTTCCTTTCTCTCTCTCTTCCTCCTCCCCCATGTCTCTCCCTCTTTAGCTCCCACAAGAGCTAAAAGTGGGCTCCTCCTTCCAGCAGATAGCGAGAACCAACTCTTTCTCTTCACCTTGCCTCCCTTCTAGCCCAGCTTCTTCCTTAACAGGAAGAGTTTGCCCCCAGCAAGTGCTACTTCTGTGAACTGCCTGACCATGCTGCTGCTTCCTCATAAGAGCTGAAGAAGCCTCATGGGGTCAGGAACAAGAGGTGGCACAGCAAGACTCCCAGGCAGGCCAAATGAAAGCAGAGAAGAATATTCTGATGTATAAAGCATGATATGGTAAGGAGATAGTGTAGTTATATAAATCAATGTTGCACACTCCCCTAGAATACTATGCTCAGTTCTGGTCATCTCGTCTCAAAACAGAAGATGGGGTCAGAAACAAGTGACAAAAAATGGTTCAAATCAACAGCAAAAAAAAGAGAAAAATTACTAGCATGTGTAAGTGGATAAAGAAGCTAAAGACACGAAACTCATAAAAGCCTTCTAAACCCCAGCCCATGAAGTGAATTTTAGAAGGCTTTTCATTCATATTATTGCTCTGTTAGCCGAAGTGGTAAAAATACCCCAACTCCTATGAGACACACAAAGTTGGGGGAGGAAATATATTTTATTGGACAGATTTCTGTTGGTGACAGAGACAAGCTTTCATGAGGCACTGCTGCTGATCCCCATCCTACCCCTTCTCCTGCATTCCCTGAGCAATCAGCTTTCAGATGTCCACATTTCTACAGCTGGTCTGTAGCTGTGCCTGCCAAGTCTTTTCTCCCCACAGGCCCAAGAGATCCAATATCTCCTGTCTGCTCCAGAACAGAGCATGTCTAGAGCATGCCGCCGGCATGGTCAGCTGGGGCATTGCACACAACAATGGAGAACTGCTAGGTGTGCTCACCAACTTCCAAGCTGGACAATCAGGAAAATGCATTTAAAAATGTTGTAGGGTTTTAAGGGGGAGGGGGGCGATTTCCACTCCCTGTGAGCCCTCGGCAGTGGAGTTCAGAATTGTGACCAGAGCGGTCAGTATTGGGCATTGTGGGACAGCTGCTGGAAGACTTAAGGTCAACACAGGTAATGCAATGGCTTGGGCAAGCCCCAGACCATCCCATTTTTACTTTAAGAAATATGGTCACCCTAGAAAAGAGTTTGTCCCTAGGTGATACGGTGTTTGGCTGTTCCTGTTCCAATCTAACAACAGGCAATAAAATGATGTTTTAAATTAGCACTGAGCGAACTCATTTATCTCCAAAACGCTGAACTGCTGTCCTATTGTACAATCTTTGCCTGAAGAAGATTTATTTTCCAATAAACTATTACCTTGACCTTTTTAAAAAGATTACTCTAGATTAGGAGGCACTGACAGAAGTGTTGTAGGCAAAACTTACTACAGCCACGTCACAGTGCCTCGTACTTTAAACCTTCTTTGTCTAGTAGATATTGCAGCTCGGGCTGGAATTCAGGCTCTGAAACCTAGAGAGGGGGTTCCTGGCCAAAACATCAATGTATCCAAGTTTGACATGTCAACTAGCTGCAATACTTGCCTTAGATACATATCTAGAAAACTTACATGGCAAATGCACAGTATGGCAGGGATTGCGTAGGCAACGTTAATGCCATTTGGGGCACTTATGTTTTTTTTGGGGGGGACTTGTATTTGATTTTATTACATATATAATAAAACTAGGATATTGAGGTGATCTACTGAGTATTAGCCCTTTAAGTTACTTATACCTATTTATAACTTGAATTTCAGATTAACAAAATTTTGGGTTACTTGCCTGTTTGCCTTCCTGATAAAATACAGCCTTATACAAAACCAACAACACAGTCTTGTAGTCCAGTGTAGAATAAGTACTGTTAGAAAAAGTCTCATTTACCTTGTGTTTCCGGGTGGAGAGACATATAGAGCAGACACCAAAGCAACGTGTTGGTAGTGGTGTCAGTACCTGCGATGAAGAGGTCACCAATGATAAAAAACAGGTAGTCTTCGTTAAAGCTGCTCTCACTGTTGCTCTCTCGCTCTTCTTCCACTTGCAGGAGATACATATCGATGAAGTCTCTGGGATTTTCTCTATCCAGGGTGTCCCTGTGCTGTGCAATTATTTTCTTTAGAAAAGCTGTGACATCCAACTCAATTTGTCTCAGTTCTCTGAAAGGGCCAAAGGGAAGATAATACAGCCAAGGGCAAATATTGACCAGAAGTACATGGCTATTTACACTAATCTCTAGCGCACGTGACATGAGACTTAGCATGGTCTTAAACTCAATGTCTTCATAGTCAAAGCGCCGACCAAAGGCCATAGAACAGATAACATTGGACACAGAGTTGCTGATAATGGGAAAGGGGTTAAATGGATCCTTTCCGTATCTTAGCATTTCTTCCTTCACATACTTCAGTTCTTCAATGATTTTGGGTTCCAGGCTATGCTTTCCTAATCCAAAATGACGAAGAGTTGAGTGAGAAAACTTCCTCTGTTGCCTCCATACTGGACCATATGGTGCAAAAACGACACCTGAAAAAAGAAAAGAAAAAAAAAAAGTGAATCCCATATTGAGCAGCTATATTCTCAAGGTGACACATTTAATTCCACTTCCCCCACCCAAAAACAAAACAAAGAAAAAAAAAACCCTCACAACCAGATCAGGAACTTTCCAAAAATAAAGGCGAGTCATGTGATCAAGGCACAGAACTAGCAGCCAGAGAAAGATGACTCTGTTCCAGCTCTAAGACTTCTTATATGGCCTTGGGCAACTCTGTACCTCAGTTTTCCAATCTGTAAATTGGATATAATGGCTACCTCAACAGCCTTAATTAATGTCTGTAATACGTTTTGAGATCCTCAGTTGGAAGGCACTATAGAACTATTATTATTGCTTACCATCTTGTAAGCATTTCACAGGAATGTCAAATTTTGGACATACGTTAGCAGTAACCCTTTAAACAAAAAGAAAAGAAAAAAAAAGGGGGACCTCCTACACAAATGCCATGAGCAAGATGGAGAAAACCAAATATTCAAACACAATTTGTTCTGCACTGTAACATTACGGGACGACTCTCTCTATGGTACACACCTCCCAGTACTGTCTGTGTGCATGTAACTCCCATCAAAGACAAAATTCAAGTTAACCCCTACATTTTTATGAAACAATTAGGCAACAGGATATAAAAGCTGCAAACAGACTGGGAAGGTGACTATGTATTTAAAACTTCTTGGTAAAAATGCCCTTGGATTTGCATCACTAGGGAGTTTTCAAAACATTAGATACATGCTCTCCATGGGCATTTCTTATTATGAAATCTACCCCGAGTCAATACTTTAAACTTTTTTTTGTTCATGGGCTTCTTTGGAGTCAACTATAAATATTAATTTACATGCAAATAGATACATCTTGTTGGATTTGACAATAGACGCTGTACACATTTATAGTACTAACTATATAAACCAGGGGAGGGCAAACGTTTTGGCCCGAGGGCCACATCAGGGTGTGAAACTGTATGGAGGGCCGGGTAGGGAAGGCTGTGCGTCCCCAAACAGCCTGGCCCCCGTGCCCTATTCACCCCACCCACTTCCTGCCCCCCTCAGAACCTCCAACCCATCCAACCCCCCCAACTCCTTGTCCCCTGACCACCCCCTCCCCCGGGACCCTACCCGCATGCAACCCCCCTGCTCCCTGTCCCCTATCCACACCCCACCCCTGAAAGGCCCCCCGACCACCCTGCCCCAGAACCTCCGCCCCATCCAACCGCCTCCTGCTCCCTGTCCTCTGACTGCCCCCCAGGACCCTCTACCCAACCCCCTTCGCTGCTGCACACGCACACCGCCGCTGCCGCCCCCTTACCATGACACTCAGAGCAGCAGGAGCTCACAGCCCCGCTGCCCACGCAGCAGCGTAACTGCGGGTGAGGGGGGACAGCGGGGGAGGGGCCAGGAACTAGCCTCCCCAGTCAGGAGCTCAAGGGCTGGGAAGCACGGTCCCATGGGCCGGATGTGGCCCGCGGGCCGTAGTTTACCCTCCTCTGATATAAACAAAACAAAAAACCGGCTATCTACAGTGACTTAACCAAATTAACCAAAATTAATCTAAACCTCAGAGTAACTTGGAAAAGTATTTTAAGCCACCAGAGCAAGAAACAATATTTTAGTGCTACTTATGGTGAATTCACATTATGTTTTCTTAGAAAGAGCAGTTTGTTTCACAAAAGCTACATGACAACCACATGTCTCACTATTAATGTTAAGTTTCAAAGATTTTTTTTAAAAATTAATTGATTTGTGAAAGGCACTTTGATAAGAGTTTAATACCTAATTTAACAAATGGCCAGATATATAAACACAAGAGAGAAACTCAGTGGCTATTAGAAATTGGTAACAGAAAGGTATGTCTTCTGGATACTGGATAGGCATCCACATTTTGATAAAAGGACCTAACAGTCGAAACTCTAAACATGAAAATGAGTTATAACCCTAAAATAAATCCAGAAAAGTTATTTAAAAGAGTGGGTATAATAATGTACCAAGAATAGTATATGCCAAGAGAATGTACACTATTCAGACTCAGGACAATCTAAGAGATATGAAAGGGCAAAATGAAGATTGGTATGTGGTCTTCATGATTAGATTTTCTGACTGAACTATCTATTAAAGTGACTGCATTAGGCTGAAAAATCTGAACTCACTGTTTAGTTCCAAAGATCTTGAAGTAAGCAAAGTATTATGATCAGTACTTGATTAAGAAAAAAGTCACTGTACTATACCAACTGAGTGAACAGGTGTTCAAATGAACCTCATTTTGTCTCCTATAAATATGCCTTGAAGAACAGCTTCTCAGCAATACATTCTCTGTACAGAACACTTTTTGTTTTTGTTGGTTTTCTTAGCTTGTCAGATTACCCTCCCCAGGGCAGTGTTTCTAGGTAGCAGCAGTAACATCAACTAGGACAGGTGAAAAACTAAGGCACATCTGATACTGAAATCTACCAAGAACGTATTAATCATTCCAGTGAAACAGAACACTTCTATCTTGGCCTAAAGCAAGTACGACAACAAAACCAAACCACAATTCAGCACAACCTTTTCCTGACTCCAGAAGAGGGGCGGGGGAAAGAGTAGTTTGAGGACATGAATACCATCCACAGGTGAAGACAGTCTCATAATCTTTTAAGGGAGCAAACTCCCTTCAATTTATGCATTAAAAGCTGATCTGGCGAACTGAGACTGTCCCAATTTCATATTATAGTAGGAGTTAGGAACTGACCAGAGTTAGGAACTGATCAGAGTTAGGAACTGACCAGTCAACCATACACCTCATTTGGAACTGGAAGTATGCAATCAGGCAGTAGCAGAGACAAAACAAAACAAAATAAAATAAAAAAAGCTAATATAGTAAACGTATTAAATGTAAGCTACTAAAAAAATGAAGGGAAAACAGCATTTTTCTTTTGCATAGTAAAGTTTCAAAGCTGTATGAAGTCAATGTTCAGTTGTAAACTTTTGAAAGAATACCGTAACGTTTTGTTCAGTTACGCACAACCTCCATTCCCAAAGTGTTCATAACTCCGAGGTTCTAGTCTAAAAAGATTTTTCAGACATCGTTCCACAGAGAAGACTGTCATATGAGATCATCAAAAACACAAAAATCCCAGCTCAATTGGAAGCACTGACAACTAGCTTACTATAGGCAAAAACTAACAGAGATGGAGAAACAGATTAAAATAGCACTAGGTTAGAGCAAGGTTAGAGCAACAACAGAGATCAGAGAAGAAACCTGAACCCATTGGCTGAGTGCCAGGTAACAATAAAGAGGAGTGATTCAGCACTTTTGTTTATTAACAGAAGATCACTGAAAAAAGCAGCTAGGGAAAACAGCACTTGCTCTGTACATCAGCCGAGAGCCAAGTGTACCCAGGAATGGGTGTATACAAGGAAGAATTTGAAGAAGCCATAAAAATGCATCAAGCAACGAGCCGCGACCTGAGCCAGTGCAGGCGGTCAGGGAGAAGGGGTGGTTGGATGGGGCAGGGATCCGGCAGGGCAGTCAGGAATGAGAGGAGGGGTTGGATGAGGTTGGCAGTGTTCCCGGGCGGGGGTGTGTGTGGATGGGCAAGGAGTCCCTGGGGGACCACCGGGGGGGGGGAGTCACATGGGGCAGGGCCACATCTGGCTCTTTGGGGAGGCACAGCCTCCCCTAACCAGCCCTCCATACAATTTCAGAAACCCGATGTGGCCCTCAGGCCAAAAAGTTTGCCCGCTCCTACAACATGGAAGACCGTACTTAATGTTGCCAATATTTCTACAGTGATGGGAGAAAGGAGAATGCAACCATACAGCAGGGGAAAATCTTCTGTCTCTTCTTTATACACCATAAAGCTGCAGAGAGGGGGACCCAAGCCTAACCACACTTTGTAGTTTACACTGACAAGATAAGGTAAAAAATGGAAACAATAAAGGGAGAAACTGTATATTTTCTCCCTTATTATTTCAATATATACGACAAAGGTTTTCCACACAAGTTAATATCAGTGCTAGTTAGACGGGCAGGCTTAGGCTCTCTGTGTGGAGCCCCAGTGGCTTCAATAGTGGTCCACCCATGTGGGCCAGACTGCAGGGTCACGACCTTAAATTGCCTTGATTTATCTGGAATACAGAGACTAAAGGCATCATCGCAAGCTAAGAATATGTATCAAAACCTTTGTTCAGTGGGGGGTCAGAATTTCAAATACTGTCACAGAGTCTGGTGACCTCCCATAAAACACAAATCTACGTACTTTAAATTATGTCAACATGACTTCTGGGTTAAATCCAGAAATGAAGTTGTAATAGTAACAAGTTTTTAGACGAGATGATGAACTTAATTAACTTATTTATGGTTTCAGGATTAACTTTATCTAAGATCAATTATATCAGTACATAGAGAAGCAAGAGAATTGTTACTTTTTGGTGGCATTTGTCTATGGGGAATGTGCATTACAAAAAACAATACATGTATCATGTTTACTTTCCAGGCAATTTGCATCATGTATTTATTTATGAAATAAAAATGTAACTTTTTATGGTAATGTAAATAGGACAAATACAGTAGTTACATTCAACTGAAAATGTAGGCTCTTTGTTAAAAATGTGGATTGGATTACAGGAGAAGCATGGAGAGTGAGGCATTAGGGATGATATATAGGGATGTGCCCTATAGAAGTATTTATTATGGGTTACCTGCCCAGATTTTCCCCAAATACACCAGCTATCCTATTGAATTAAGGTGTATGGTAGTATTAAAGAGCTATGGTCCAGCCTTCGTTTTGTAGCAGAAACACTGCGGAGGACACACCACAGACCTCATCTCACCTTGTTGACAAAAAACTAACAGCTGTACCTGTAGGCCTTGTTTCCACTAGCATTTCTCATCAGCCTTCTCATCATTGCATAGCCCCTGGTGCAGCTTCAGTGGCCACAGCAATGGTGCGAATGCTAAGATGGACTTGCTGCTGGTGCTTTTATCACCACCTTGTCTAACACTCAGAGCAGGTCTGGATGATGTGGTGGTTAAAACAGAGGTTGCCAGAAGCTGCCAGTCTACATTAATGCCCCACATTGCTGCCAAGGGCGTAGCTGAGCTCTGGCAGTTTACTGGTGGAAAACGTGAAGAAAAATGTTAGTGTAGTGTACATATGGGCTAACAGAAACAGTTAGTTTCATAGCTTCTATTCAGAACTTGGTGGGTTGCAGTGAAATGGTCAAAGATCACTCCATTTTCTATCCACTGCTGCTGCTCAAGAAAGCTACAGACAGCAGCAGAGGCAGGCACTGAAGTTATTCATGAGAGGACCCAACAAACGGAGGCTGGGAGAGCGACAGACACTCCCTATCCTAACAGCAGCCAAAGTTTTCCATGGGAGGGACAGTTGATAGTTACCCCTCAAGTATACATAGCAACCAAGAGGTCCAAAGAGGAGAAAAGATGCTACCATAGGCCTTTAGCATTCTTGCCCCAACCTTTCACATCTGGTTACTAGGAGTCCAGTGAATTTTTCAGCCCTGGTTCACAAGGCATCAGAACTTAAAGTCTGATAAAATCAACAGCTGGTTAAAAATGCAGCAACTTGCTTTCTAGCCCACACAACCACGTCACCTTGAGACTGCACATTTCACTGGCTCCCCGAGATACAGACCAAATTCAAACTTCTGGCCTTGACATTTAAAGCCCTCAGTGGGGCCACACCTGGACTACTTCAGAGATCAAGAGCCACCAAATCTATTATACTCATTAGAAACCATGAAAAACATCAATGGATGAAATTCACAAGAGACAGGGAAGAGCTCGCAGAAGCCAGCCCTCAGACATGGAGCTCCATGTCTGGATTGGATTGCAGAACATGCCACAGTCAGGACAAAATACAAAACTCCCCCTCTATAACCTAGATTTCCCAAAAGTAAGATGTGCCAAAGCCTAAGAACTCTCACCCCCCCCTGTCAGGAAACCACTTATTTCATGTAACTGATGTACACTCAAGATACCAGCATGATGGACATGGGACAGATTAGAGGTCATTGGCCCCTCAGAATGATAGTGATATTCTAGCACAGATCTAGAACTAAATATATCAAGTCTTGGACACTAGACTAATAATACAAAACAGTCCCTGTTCTTCTCATTCATCCCCACTAAGGGCTTGTGTACAGTTTAAATGCTAGAGAGAGACAGCTGTACGGTTGCAGCCATGCCACTGCAGAGCTTGCCGATGGCATAGGTAATTCATCTCCATGAGAGGCAGTAGCTAGGTCAATGGAAGAATTCTTCTGTCAACCTAGCGCTGTCTACAGGGGTACTTAGGTTGGTTTAACTATGGTGCCCAGAGGTGTGGATATTTCACTCAACTAAGGTAGAAAAGCCAACCTAATTTTCTAGCATAGACCAGGCCTAAATATAACTAATTTCTATCCAACTTTTATCTATGTAGGTCCCAACCCATCACTGTCGTATCCAAACATCTTGCAAAAAAGTAATGAATTTACTGTACTACCTCCCCCTGTTACGTACATAAATACTGTTCTCCCAATTTTAAAGATGGGGAATAAAGAGGGAGAGAGTCTTGCCCAAGCCTTGTAGGAAGTCAGTGGTAGATCTGATCATTGACCCCAGATATCCTAAGGCCCGATTCAGTGACTTAGAGCTTGTCTGCACTTTAAACACTAAAGCAGCATTGCTATAGCGCTCATTGTAGACACTCGTTACAATGACAAGAGGGGTTCTCCAGTCGGCTTAGTTAATCCACCTCCCCAAGAGGCAGTAGCTAGGTCAAAAGAAGAATTCTTCCGTCGACCTAGCACTGTCTACCCCAGGGGCTAGGCCAACTTCACTACGTCACTCAGGGATGTGGATTTTTCACAGCCCTGAGTGACGTCGCTGGGTTGACTCAACTTTGAGTGTAGATGAGGCCTCTGCGACACCATACTTCCTCCCTGCAAGCAGGGCCTAAGACTTTTGGGAAAGGTAAGCAAGCCAGTTCCTCGGGATACACCCTACACCCCAACACATTTTGTCTTATGCTTGTTTGTACCGGCGTACATGGGGGAAGGGAAGTGACAACAGCCACCACAGTCAGTGGCTATTGACCCTGGCTGCCATGGGACCTTTAATCATCTGACCCATGTCAACTGACTGGGGCCAGGAAATAAAGACCAATCTCTTCCCCGCACTGTGTCTCAAACCTTTTTTGTTGTGAGGATAAGAAATCCATCCGGCCACCCCTTTAGGCTCCATTACCAGGGCTAGGGGCTTTCCTGTTTGGAGAGGTGAGGTTTGCCCCTTTCTTGGCACCCCCTCCCACAAGGCCGGTTGGGAAGACCTGCCTGGAGAGGACGCTCCACCTCGAAGGGAGCCCACATTTCCCTCCTGCATGGACTCCCGTGCAATGCAAGGGGAGGCACCCCTGGATCTGCAGCCCCGGCCGTCCGGCGCCAGGACAGTGGCCGAGCCGGGCGGGGGGGCTCGCCGGGCTGCTCCCCCAGGCCCTGCGCTCACCCTTCTTCTTGGTGAGGATGGCCACGATGGGGATGCTGGGCCGGTCGCTGAACACCTCGGCCTGGCTGACCAGCGCCTCCCGCACCGCCTCGAAGTCGCTGAGCACGATCATGGGGCGGCTGCCCACGAAGAGGCTGAAGACGCTGCCGTAGACCTTGGCCAGGCCGGTCAGGAGCAGGTGCGGGGAGAGCGTCCGGGAGCCCCCCTGCCACTTCTTCCGCAGCGGCCCGGGCAGCAGCGCGAAGCCGAAGTTGCCCACCAGCGGCCAGGGTCTGGGGCCCGGCGGGAGCCCCCGGGGCGGGCGGCTCAGCAGCCAGTAGAGCCCCAGGAAGAGCCCGGCGGCCGCCAGCAACGCGCAGCAGACGGGGTCCCGGGGCGGCCAGGGCCAGCCCGCCAGCCCCCCCCAGCCCATCCAGCCCCGGGAGCGCCGCCGCGCGCCGCTACCTCCCGGAGGCGCGGCTACAGCCAGCCAGCCAGCGCCCCGCCCGCCTCGCGTCCGGGGGTTGGCCGCCTCCGGCTGCGGGCGGAGCTCTGGCCGTCGCCACTCGTCCCAGAAGCCGGGGGGAGTCCCCGACTCCGCTCCACAGTGGGCCGCGTGACGTCCCCAGCCTCGGGGGGTTCCCTCTCCCCAGACCCCCGCCCCCAGGCTTCTCCTTAGTCCTGCCTCCGCTCAGGGGCCCCTTGCGGCAGCAGCGGCCCCCAGCCCCGCAAAGAGATCGGCGGTGGGAAGAGAGCAAATAAAGCAGCGCAAGGCTCTGGTTGAATTATGGTCCCCGCCCCCAACCGTTGCTTTGCAGTTCCTGCCCAGGGTGGTGGCAGGCAGAGGGGAAAGAAGGAACTTGGCACCTGTCTAATCCATTCAGCGACTCCCAGATATTCAGATATTTGGCAATGGGACTGTCTATAAATAGGGTCAGTAAATATCCGCTTTCATTTTTCTCTGGACCCCACCCACTCCCGTGGCACCTTGGTGTGCTAATAATTAAAACCAGCATAAGTGTCTGGGGGTACCTCTGCTCAGAGACACTCAGGAACATTAAACCAGATTAACTAAAGGCACGGATTTAAAGTGCATTAGCTAAAGTGCATCAGCCCCCTGTGTGGATGCTCTTATTCAGAAGTAAAGAAGCCTTAGTTTCTTTCACTTTAAATCCCTTTTAAAGGAATAAATTAAGCACATCAACCTTAAGCATGTGCCTCAGTCCATCCCTATTTACCAAAGCACTTATGTGCTGTGCTGAATCACCGTGAAGCTCTGGTGGGCCACCACTGATGACAATGTCCCAAAGACAGACATAGTTTGAGGAACAGCAAAACCAGAGGTGGGAGGAATGGGGGCTAGCGCCTCTGCAGTGGAAATATAGGGCAGGGGGGACTGATCCATGTTTCTGCCCCTCTGTCACTGCCTGTGAACTGCACACAGTTGGTGCAAGGTGGGATAGAGGCAAGAGCAGGACCCAGAGGGGCAGGACTGGTTATCACATCTGGGATGGGCATGGGGAATAGGTTGCAATATCTCCCCCTCACACTGAGTGTCTTTAATGCTCCTCACTGAGCACCACCCCTTCCCTCTCCTATCCCCAACACCCCAACCTTCCCCTCTGCTCCTACTGCCCCTGCTCCCCATCTAGAGCACCACCCTGCATCCACAACAAGCTTCTATTGGCACTGGAACTGTGCATTTCTGGGCCTATCCTACACTATCGTCTATGATGCCATAAACTATAGGCATGAACTACAAATATCAGCCAGTCGTGACAAGATTTGTCATACACAGGTGCAACATTTCACCAAGTAATATCACTGGTTAACTTTTTTGTGTTTTTCAAGTATGATTTTACAAAATTCCCCCCGCACACACACACCCTCTAGTGTGTTTGATGCCAAAGGCCACAAGTAATATGAGATGGGCCAAAACCACAATTTGAAGTCCAACCTATTTCAAATTTCAGGAGGAGGTTTTGATTCAACTTCCCAGGTATGAACCTGTCCCTGCTGTTTTGGTTCTGGGTTGGATCTACAACTAAAATTGTATGTTTCCGCTCTAGTTCACATGTGACCAAAATCTCACAAGAACTTCCATTTTCATGAGATTCTGGCACAGAACTGAAATCTTGTGAGAACTGCTGGACTTCAAGTAGGTTGCACTATTCATGAGTGTAGAATTCTCATTAAATCAGCTGAATTGGTGAGTTTTCCATCTCACAAGAACAGTTTGCAAGTTTGCAGTAACATTAGACCTTCAAACTCGAGCTATAGCCCCCAAACCATATCGGGATGCAGAAACAGGAAAGATCTACTATGTTGTTAATGAAGAAGAGGCCAGGATGCCTGAGCAGTGGTTAGGACAATGTCCAAAACTCAGCCAAGGCCACCATGGTTCACCTGTTTTTATTATGAATGATTTGCACAACTCAGAATGCTGCCAAACTATTAAAAAGGAAGAAGTCCTTCGTTCCTGCTCAGTTTCACTAATTGTTTAATAAGAATTGATCCTCTTTTTCATTTCATTGGTCAATCTGATAGCATGGAGTCTGTCTTAAGCCATTGATTTTCTCCTCACCCCCGAATTATTCACCTTCAGATGCCACCAATGTAGACAAGAGTGTAGGAATGGTGGAGCAGAGGAGGGGTGAATTCGTAGTTAGCAATGACAAACGTGTATTTGTTTTATAGAACTTTAACCAATTTCTTATCTTAATTATTGACCAGGGTGTACCTACTATCATCTGGAATCAGCCTGGATTTATTCATTTGCCATGACTGTGTAACCCTTCTGCCCGTCAGAGTTGGTAGCAACAAGGGCCAGGTTCAATATCTAGGGGATCCATTCCAATAACACACTGCAGACCGGCTCGAGCCCCGACCCAGTGACCTGGGACAAATATATACCACCCCGGCTGGGCGCCTCCAAGAGGCAATACTTCCCCTCTCACAAGCACATAGTCTGAGTGTAGCAAAAAGCCTTTTAATAACAGAGAGAAACAATGTGGCATTATGTTGGCGAAACACCACCAACAGGATTCATAACACAACCCATGAGCAAAAAAACCCACCCCAAGCAAATTGGAGCATGCCCCTTTCCCTTTGGTTCTTGAGTCCAGCAACCCCAAATCACCCAAAGTCCCAAAAGTCCAATGACCCAAAAGTCTCTGTCCCTGGTCAGGGCAGCCCCAGAGTTTGAAAGTTTATCTGCGGAGCTTTACCTCCCAACCTGGGTGGAGATGGGACAGGGGTAAGAGGCACCTTACATGATCTGAAGCTGACCGCCCCACAGCTCCATAGGCCTTGGCTTTGCTCCGCCAGCCGCCCCATGAACTCCTTCGCTCAGCTCCGCGGCCCACAAGCAGCTCCCACCGTCCCACGAACTGCTCCATGTCCCACCAGCAGCTCCCGCTGTCCTACGAACTGCTCCACCAGCCTGTCCACAAGACACTCCAGCTGTCCCGCAAACTGCTCCACAATATATCTTCAGGCTCCCCCACTACTTAACACAATGCTCAGTGATTTCAGCTCTTAGTCAGTTCAGCTCTTTGGTGAAGTCAGCTTGTAGTAGGAAAACCTCAGTGCTGGTGCACCATTAGCCCAAAGTGAGCTCAGCAGCCTGTAACTAGACTCCTAATGGAATCAAAATTAGCTCTGATATTCCACAGTGGAGAGAGGAGGAAGTGCAATTAGCATGTAAGGCCCTCTCCAAGGAGCCCATGCCACCAAGTATTAATACTTGTCCCCAGCCCCTCTCAATTCACAGAGTTTTAAAACCCATGACCCTTGCCTAGCGAGTGCTACTTAGTTGATGGTGAGTCCCTCCATCATAACAAAAGGCCAAGTACAGTTCCAAGCACAGTTCCCATAATCAGGGTAATAACAATTTATTCTTCCTGCCCCAATAACAGAGACACTGGGGATCCCACAGCAGCCAAGGTGACCATTTGGGCAGCTATGGCCTCATTCTAGGCGGGGTGGGTGTGCCTATGCAAATGAGATCAGCCCCTGAAGTTCTTTTCCACAACTTGCCACACCTCACCACTAGATGTCAGGGTGGAGCTCATCCTGACATTGCTTACAACTGTAACTATGTTATAGATGCTTTTCAAAGCCTTCAGGAGGACAGTCCTTGCTTTGGGGAGATTCCACTCTAAGCTTGTAGTTGGAGCCAAAGAAGTTCTGATGAACAGAACTGTATCTTTTCAGAAATATTTTCCATTTCACCTATCTTTTTAATTTGTTGATGCTTTAAGACCCTGCTGTTATAATGGCCTGCTCTCTGAGAAGGAGGGCTTGATGTGGATCTTCCATGACTGGTGATCACAATTCTGAGCTTCACATCTAAAAAGGCACTCTTGCACCTCCCATAACACACAGTGTGTGTTTTGCCCATCTTTGGACACTGTGCTGGAAGACATGTTACTGCACAACCGTATTATGTTATGAAATTGATGCATTATTTTTAAGGCAGAATATCAGTAGCATTTACTAAACAAGGTTATTGATAAAGGGCACATATACACCAGCACTGTAGCCTTAATTCTCCAATAAAGCAGCTGTAAAGGAGGAAGTGGGTTGCTGACGACCCCAAATAGTTTATTTTTTCAGTATTAGAATGTCTCTTTAACTCTACAGCAATTTACCACAAAAAGCTCCATGACATTAGCTGAGCTATATTTAAAAACAATTTATGGTGATTATAAAGGAGTGTATTGAAGTGGGCATATCTGAAATTTCAAATAGTCAAGGCCAATTTTTCTTCAAACAAATATGAAACTGTTAGATACAGTTAGATACAGTCTCTCTCTAATCTGCTCCATATAAGGGGCTGATATTTTTATTAGCTGCTGCCATACAATGCAATATAAAAGAAATGAAGTTCACAAAGACAAATCAGATTGAAAAAGAAGCCTAATGCAGCCTCTTCCATTGGATTTGCCTGAAACTCTCAGTACTTTAATTAGAACGTCAGCAGAAAACATGTTTCTATAAATAGGGAAGTAACATTTAAAAGAATGCAGATAGCTTGGAACAATATGAAGAAAACATAGCATGAAACAGTGTGTGCATGCAGCAGTTTAGCTGAACCAGGCATTTTATCAGAATAAGGAAAAATTACAGTATATTTTGCAGTCTTAATTCGGAAAGAGAGAGGCTAAGGCATTAAGAACCAATAAATAGAGTATTGAAGAATTCTGCTGTTTTTATGGGGGGGAAACAGTATCAGATGAATATGTGCCTTCTCCTAACCTCTTTCCTCTCCACTCATTGTAGCAGCATTCACTATTTTAATTCAACTTTGCCACCATAGAAATTAGAGAAGAAAGGTATATATAGAGTTATCAAACCCCCTCCACATGGCATAGTAGGATTATCTCTATCTATCCCCGTATTTATATGGCTCCCATTATGTTAAAATCAGAGTATCTCCAATGTCTTTAAAAATAGGAATAACTTCTCTTCTTCCTT